ATGGACTAGCTGAGCACTAATATACTTATTAAAACATCTCCACTGCCGTACTGATTGTAGAAAATTGAATATCTAGAAATTTAGGTCCAATTTACCTGTTATGTTGTCTCTTTTTCTGGCCAAATCGAAACAAACGCTTCGGTCTCTTCTTGAGAAGTCGTACCGCAGGAAAAGTTCCCTTTCTGTGAGGACCAAAGTTAACAAGAGTTTATTTATATCATAGCGGAACAGTTAATCAACGTGATAAATAATTAATGATATTTTAAACTAGAAAAGGACGGGAACCTAACAGCGGAAAGCACGCCAACAGCAGCAAAGTGATTGTGAAAATTAACGTTCTTTACAGCAAACTAAAAATAAAAGTTGTCTCTGTAATTGTTCCTCGCTTTTAAAATTTTTTCTCAGCTGATAAATAGCTCAAGGACCTTTATCAGAACCTGTCTTGCTTCTTCTTGTTATACAAATGTAGGACTGAGTTAATCGTAATTTTTTCGCTGTCATTCTAAACCCTGCCCTGCACTGTCAAGGGTTAGCCCGAACAAGGAATTGTCTCAAAAAAAATTTCTTTTAAAAATACTAAGTGTTTTACTACACGTATTCTTCCTTACCCTTGTATTTTTGTTTTTTTTGACTGAACGAGATCTGTTGAATCAAGTGGAAAAGACAATGCCATATGGCCATGGTATGACAATATGACTGCATCATCGAAATAACGTTGTTCCTCGATTATTCCAAATATCTATCCAAAAAAGAACTGGGTCATGCTTTTAATTGTGCGTCTGTGAACTTATGATGCACTTGGTAAGTTTGAAGAACACTTCAGAAGCTTGAGTTGCTTTCAGCTGAGCCTCGAGCAACTCCTCAAGCTCTTCAATTCCATAACTTGATGGACCAACTTCTTGCAACATGTAGGGCTGTATAGTCTTGAACGCAAACTTACTGTGCTCTTCAAGTCGGACAGTCGCAAAGACTTTTTTCATTCGGTATCATCCAAGATTCACGCACATTTTCATACGTTAAACGACCTAAAGCTAACATTTTAATAATTTTGGCAGACCATCCGCGTACATATTTATTGTGAACCTGAGAATTAACCTGCAAAATGCGTTAATGTATATCAAACCCTCGGCTCGCGAATAACTATTTCCAGAAAGGTTTCAGAACGTTCGAAAAGAAAACCGTTTTATCAGGCATGGTAATATACATTTCATTTCCACGCCAGTATCCTCGTACTCTACTGCTCTTCTTGTATTCAATTCTATTGAGTAATGAAGGTTTGAAATGAATTCCTAAGGAAAACTATCTTAAAAAATGCACGTGCACAAGTCGACGCCCCTTCGACAGGGCCAGCGCTATGATGCGAAGAATCCAGGCCGTTAATATGGTCGACAAAACAACGGGAGAATTCAAGGCATGGTGGATTAGGATTCTGTCGAAGATTTTAGATTGTGTTTTTTTCTTTTCACCTTATTAAGAAGTATGGACTTTTCATTGCTATGAATGTCCGTCATGAATTCGACGTCTATTAGATTTTTTAAAGAACAATTTCAGAAATAACGAAAGAAATTCGCAAAATCTAAGTAATATATAAAAAAGCAAACATTTTACAATTTGTATATGTCCTATTATCGGAGTTGGCCCACCCGACATGAAATAAAAACCGCGACTAACTGCAAAACCTTTTAAAATCTTTCCTA